CTCCCTGCTTCTGCTCCAGCGACCAGAGTCTTCCTCAGAATGGGACGCTTTGAGGAAGAACTGTAACAGGTAGAAGTTGCAAAAGTTTATTTTCTTTCCTGCTTTATCTTCCCTTGCTTGGTTTTGCCTTTAAATGTCACAGCTGCATCCCAGCCCCTGCCATAGAGGATGGGCAGGGAGCACCCTTTGGGAGGTAGGACAGACCCAGTCTGGGAGTTATCAGAGGGGTGAGGGGATGGAACCTGCTGAAGGACCACTTCCCTACGTCTCTCTGGGGCAATCTTTGTTATTCCAGGCACCCTGCTAAACACCAAAACGCATCACCACACACCCCAGCTGGCAGGGGGAGGTTTCTCACCTTGCTGTCAGTCCTCCACAGCCTCTTCCTGGCCCATTCAAAACACACAAATCGCTCCGACTTTGCAGATCACTCGTGCGTTGCCTCCAAGAGCAGCTGCTTCTCCCAGCCACCCCCAATTCAGCACAGGGGGTACAGCGAGGACCCTCCTGGCCCCTTGCCCCAGCCCCAGGACTGCTCCCAGGGAGCTGCTCCCACATCGCCCAGCCATGCTGCTCAGGCATTCAAGCTCCCTGTCAAAATGGAATTACTTCTGAACAGCAAACAGGACAATCTCAGCATGGGAAAGATCTGCCCCACCAATACCAGTCACACTGGTTTGTCTGAGTCACTCCTGGTTGCTGTTGTGCAAACATGCCCGGAGCTGCACCCAGGCAGGGACGCGTCCCCGGGCGGCTGCCACAGCGGTCAGATCGTGCCTGCGGGCTCCTACCTCTGCCAGGAGCCTGGAGGTGTCCCAGGAGACTTGCAGGGAAGACGTGGGGCTGAGCTGTTTCCCTTCTGCTGCTCCCATGTGCTGCGTACAAGGTGGGGGAGAGGGAATTGTATGCCCAGGAGGGTCCTATAAAACCTCCAGAATATCACCTTCCCCTAAAATAACAGCTGGGTCCTTAAGGGGGGGAGGAGGCAGTAGGGAAAAGGATGTCTCCCTTCACTAATGCCTTAATTAAATGCACATGAAGGAAAAGCAGAGCATTAGTCATCTGCCCTGCAACGAGAGACAGAACTTTGCAGAGGCCGCAGATGGGTAGAGCAAGGCACTGGGGTGTATTAGCGAAAGGAATTAAATTCCTCCTTCCAGCAAAGAAGTTGAGGTCCTTCTCTGCGGTGGGCTTTATCCACCCCCCTGCAGCAAGGTGGGTGCTGCTGGAGAGCTCTTGGTGCTGCAAACCTGCCCTGAGTCCCTCGCACTTACCTAATACTGCTCACGGCTCCCATCAGGAGGTTTTTCCAAGCACCTTACCAGTTCACACCCCAGCCTTGCCCTTCAGCAATAATCTTTCCCCCTGGCTAATCCTGAATCCCTCTCTTCTCCACTGCTTGTGCGTTGCAGATGTAAAGGCAGAGGTATCAGCAGCCCCCCAAGCAAGACCCTCGCTTCCCAGGAGCAATGACCCCGTCCCAGCCCAGCCCTGCAGGTCCTGAGGGTAAAAGCTCTTGTGGTCCTCCCCCGAAGGCCACAAGCTTTCTTCCCACTGGTTTCTCCAGGGAATCCGTTTGCTGTCAATCCTGCATCCCAGAGATTGGAAAATACCAGCTGATCCCTCCTATATCTCAACAAAGAAGCACAAGGATAGAAAATGTCCTGATCGGTCTCTTGTTAGCAGAATTTTCTAGCTGACAGAAAAAAAAATTGCCAACGTGTGTCAGATGCTCCTGGCACTTTTGGGCTGTGGAACACCAGGGGAAGCATGTGAGCCGTTGCATCCGAGCAGCAAATTGAATTTTTATGCTGTGAAACCAACTTGTGCTCCCAATGGTACTCATATACATTCAGACAATTTCCATGAAGGTAAAATCAGCTCCTGAGCTGGAGTAAGGAGTCTTAGAGGTTAGTTCTGTGGAAATCCCATGATGTTCTGTACCACCCCATCCCCATGCCCAGTAAGCTGTTGAAGATGTCCTTACTGGGAAGCCAGCACCCCGGCGTGATGCACAGCACCCATGGAGCAGAGGGCTGCAGGGACCGCAGTCGGATCCCCCCTCCCCACACAGTCACAGAGAGCAATGACAGCAGGATCGCAAACCCCGCACGTGCGGGGGGGAACCTGCCCGACCCCTTCCTGTGACAGCCCAGGCTGAACCAGAAATAAAGATGGATGAGAAGAGGCTGGCTGGGAGCACGGTGGTTTTTTTTTCTCCTGGAAGGGGTTTGCTGTCATGACGGTGTTTGGACAGACCGACGCTTTGGATCGTTCGTTGGCAGCACTCATTGCTGAGGCTTGCCTTGCTGCTCGTGTGGGAAGAGATGGATCTCATCTCACCATTGCTGGTGATAGAAACACCAGGGGAGGGAGCAGAGTCACCCTGCACCCTGGGAGAGGTGGCTGTAAGCTCCTGGGGCTCCAGGGCTCAGCATCTTGCTGCCGCCCTGAGCAATGGTTTGTCCTTTGGCATCAAAGCTTTCGTGGTACAGTATCACACGAGGGGGAGATGCTCAGTACCAGGATGGGATGTACACAGCAGAGGGATGTGCACAAACTAGTGACCTTCATTTTGAAAGCCTCCTGGCTTTGTGCAGGGCAGGTGTCCCATGCTGAGCTTTGTGAAGGTGGGAGAGGCACAAGCCCTGCCCAGGGGGGCTGCAGGGCTCTGCAGGAGGGAGGCAGGGGAGGAAGGCAGAGAACAGACTGGCATCTCCCACGCACACCCGCCCCAGCAAGGCTGGAAAACTCAGACCTCAGGACTTGATTCTGACCATTGCCGCTCCCTAGGACAGCTATGACCACCAAACCATGGTGAGGTGGCCAGGTAAGCATCAGTGTATGCGGTAACCTGAATGTCGTGGCAAAGCCTGGCGCTGGGGACAGAGGACACCAGAGGTTCCTGGGCCATCCAGCAATTCTCCATTCATGCACACAACCTCTTGCAGGCTTACTGCACTTCATTTCCCAGTCTTTCACAGACTCTATGCAAATGCTGGAGTCTCCTGCCCACCACTGGCTCCTCTCACATACTGTGTGCAAATGCAGGGGGGAGAAAAGAAGAAAGGAAAAACCAAAGGAAAGGAGCCTGTCCCAAAACGGAGCAGAAGGGGGAGTGTGAAAAGAGCTGTGCTCCAGGATAGCCTACCCCGTGCCTTCTTTAAGGCTTAATCCCATAGATCATCATGACCTCCATCACCATCCTCCCAGGGGAAGCAGCAGGTACCCAGCACTGTCCTGAGCTGGTTCTTAAGTGGGAAGTTTGCCAAGCCATCAGCTGAGACATTGTCCATGTCTGTCACAGGACAAAGCTCGCTGTCACTGACCACTATGTGACACAAACACAATCCAGAGCAAACATCACATTTACAACACCGCTATGCACAGATTTTCCCTGTCTTCCTTGTACTAGAAAACCCCACATACTTCATTTCGAAGGTGTGGGGCTGGCAGCTGCAGGTATTCCCCACGGCTCTCCAAGACCCCCAGCTAAGAGCAGTGGGGAATTTCCCAAAGGAGCTCCAGGACATCTCTGGATTGTTCCTGACCCCAGAGCAGTGGGGAATTTCCCAAAGGAGCTCCAGGCTGTCCCTGGGTTGTTCCTGACCCTAGAGCAGCTCCATCACAGCAAGCTGGTGGGCAGGCAGGAGGTCTCAGCAGCTTTCTGGCGAGTGTCTTGCATGTTTTATTAGAGTCACATTTCCACTCATTCATCTGGATAAGTCCAGGATGAGCGATTACAGCTCTCTCCTTTGCCCCACGGCTTCTTCACACTGTCGGGTAGGGACAGCTTGGACAGCTTTTTTTCAGTGTTTCTCCAGCCCCCTCCAGTCACCTGCCCGGGAACCAGCTCTGGCGTGTGTTGAGCTCGGTGGTCTCGATGAACTGGCAGAGACAGGGCACGCTGCCGTGCTCCAGGTGCCTCCCTGCCACCCCCCCAGGGAGCCGGCCGGTGACCAGGAGCCGGACATAGCATCCGCTGAAGATCACCAGGAGCTGCTGGGCCATCACCTGGAACGAGCACGAGAGGTGTCAGAGCAGAGCATCCACCTGCAGGAGGGGTGGATGACACATTAAATACCATTTCTCCCTCCTTCAAGGACTGTCCTTGTCTGAAAGAAGCAGGACAGGAGCCAATGGCATACATAACTGGCCCAGATCCCCTTCTGGTCAGCAATGCTGGCACACTGTCCCCACGGAGGAGGGACATGAAATGACAACTCAATGGTGGGTGGCCAGAGAGCCAGGCTGCCTGGGGACCTGCCTGCTCCGTCCCTGCCTCCTGGTGGTTTTTATTTGGGTTTTTTTTTTGCCTGTAGACCCCTAGAGAGCTTCAATCTGCAGGAATGTCACCTGTACCAAATTTGCTTCCTAACGGTGAGAAGAAAACTGTAAAAAAAAAAAATCAAAATTATCCTTTTTGGAGCTTCTTGCTGAGCGGGAATGAGGACACATTTGTTGCTCAGCACAGCACAAGTTTTTGAAGGTGTGCTTCATGGAGGAGACAAAGGCTGAGCACAGCCTCATCCCCAGCCTGGACACAGGCGCTGGGTCCCTGCAGAGACCCTGGGAGATGTCACCTTCCAAACAGCCCCCCCCACTAGCAGAAAGGAAAAGCCCCATCTATGAATTCCCCAAGGATGAAGCACTGGCTGCTCAGCAAGCGTTAACTGCCCAGCAGTGTCGGGGCTGGAGAAGGTGTGTGTGGACCTCCAGGCTCCCAGGAGCTCCTGCTGGTGAGAAAGGAGGTGTTCGCACAGCTGGCAGCTGCTGGGACCAGTTTTGGAGTCAAGGTGCCCGGGGAGGTGATTTCGTACCTCTGTCCTTCAGGGACATTACCTCCGGTGGGCCCTCGGGAACGAGGCGGAGCAGCTCATTGCACGTCACAGGCTCTTTCTTTAGGTTCACCCCACTGGGTAAAAGAGGGGACTCTTCGTGCGGAGCCTCCTCCTCTGTCCCCGGGTCGGAGCGAACCACCGCCTCCATGACCACGCAGAGCTGGTCGAGGCTGCGCCGCAAGCCCGCCTGGAAGGAAAGGAGATTTTGGGGGGCTCCAGAGGTAGGCAGCAACCATGCCCAAGGACAGCCTTCAAAGGGCACGATTCCCTCCTGCACGTTTTTTACTCCAGGGAGTTATCATCCCAAGAGTAAAACACAGCATTGGCCAAGAGCCATGGCCAGCACCAGGAGCCAAGTGCCTTCATCCCACGGCCCTGCTGCCATCAGCTGCCTCCTGTGCCAGCAACCGCTCCCAGCACGATGCTCACAGCCTGAAGCCGTGATGGAGAATCTTGTCTTGAAAAAGTACATGAGTTATATCAGTCAATATGGGGATTGGTGTGTTGCTGTCCATCCCCTGACCTGCATCGGTCGGTTCACCCAGGGAGGTGAGCAGCCTGCAGATTTTGTGGATTTTTGGAGGGTTGCAGCCCCTCTCCTCATCCCATGGCCATGGTCAGGAAGGGTGATCCAGTGCAGGAGAGCACGGTGTTTGTAGATTTATACACCCGCATAGAGGAAAATATTTTCTGAAGGCCAAGAGGACAAAGTTGTTATACAGTTAACTCAGACCAGTGTTTACTTATTCCTCAGGCTATGCTGTTCATTCCAGGTGGACAGCTCAAAGTGCCAGCTATTTCAAGTTGTGACATGTGCTTTCAAAATTTGCCCTCGATTCTTGATGACTTTCCTATTAAAGTTAATTATCAAGATAAACACGTACCACAGGACCTAGACAAATTCATGCTGAACTGGGCACCAATGGATGCAGCTGACCCACCTCCCCGTCTGTCCACCTCCCAGCTCACAGCAGAGGATGCCCAGGAGGACACTCAAGCACTCAGTTCTCCTTGCCCACCTCCATCCCACCAAAGCTGGGGTGCAGGGGCAGACCTGCCCATGTCCCTGCGGGGTCTCAGGCTGTGTCCCCCATCACTCACCCCTCGTGTCCTCTGCAGGTCTGCAATGTGGGCAGACAGGGACTGGAGGCAGCGCTCCGGGCTGAAGTGCACAAACCACAGCTGGGATGGGCAGGGTTAAGGAAGGGGTCTTTTCCTCGCTTCCCCCCCCCGCACCCCTCCCCGCTGGCAACCCTCCACCTCCATGCAGATCATGGTACCAACCTCGCAGGAAGCAGAGCAAAGGCAGCTGGTGCCCGTGGGATGCTCAGGACACAACACATTGCAGGGCTAAATTTTCAGCCAAGAGCATCTGGGCTAAGGCAAAACCTCAAAATAATGGGGAAGAGAAGGGGTGGCAGCGAAGAAGGACATTTCCCCAGAGGGCAGCCAGTCCTCCTTGCACATCCCCCAGACCCTGGGGGGGTGGCAACTGGGATAACCCAAGGCCATTGCCCATGGCTCATCTCAGTGGCCTTGTGTCTAAACAAACTGGTGGGTCACCTTGACTTAGCTCCCCTGCACTCCTTCCTGCTTGCTTTCCTTTGTTTCCAGGGATTCATTCCATTTATTTTTTACAAAATTTACTGTACTTGGTGCCTGTCTTCAGGACAGAGGCACTGTTTGTGAAGAATCGACCAAGAGCAACGTTCTGGGGATGCCAGTCCTGCCAGCTTGGAGAGCAGCAGCCCCCAGAAGGCAGCCAAAGGTCTGCCCTCATGTATCTACTCCAGCTTCCATCATCGAGGGGATTCAGGAACAGCGTAAGAGCTGAAGGGTTAAAACACACCTGACATTGGAGCAGACACAAAGCGTAAATCTTTGTGCTGTTTTCTGCTCTTGGGCAGTTCTGGGACACGTAGGTGGAGGCAAAGGCTCCTTGGATTAGTCCTCACTTACCGAGGTGCAAAACTGTGCTGGTCTGAACAAGCATGTAATTCAGGTTCTGAAGTGTTTCCTCCCCATCCTGCATGACTTTGCCCCTGCCCGTGCTCCTGCAGTATTCCCTGGCCCCTTCTCTGAGCCTGTGTTCCAGCCTTGGTTCCCTCTCCATTTATATTTCATGCCTCTCTTTATATGAGGGGGGAGATCCACCAAAAAATCTGGGAGACCATCCCTCTCATCTTCCTCTAACACTTTCATGCTGTCTTAAAATTATTTTCTTTTCCCCTAAATCTTTTTCCAGTCCAGAAAAGGTATCTCTGAAAAGCAGCAAATGAAGGACAAAGACTCCTGTTATCCGCATGTTGGTTTGGGGTTTTTTTGCTATATGCATATTGCTGTCACTCTGCTTATAAAAAGAATCATCACTGTCGTGTTCAGTATAAGAGACTTTCTGGAATAATTGTCTGCCCAAAGGAATAATCCCACTTCAATCTTTTAGACTCATTATTTCCAAATGCCTTTGGGCATATCTCAGTCCCCACTTATAGGAGAAGAAAAAACACTCAATCCCTCCTGCCACCCAATAGGAGAAAAACCAAATCCTAGAAATCCCACCCTCTGGAAATCCTCATGGAACATAATATTGATAAATACCTTCACATCGTTACCTTCCCAGGAGCGATACGAGCAATTTTCCTACAGAAAGGATACTTGCAGGATGTTGTGTGGCACATCCAGGACATCTGTAACCCCCAGAATTAAACTGTGTTTGATAAAGATTTCATTGACAGCTGCCAGCCTCACATCTGTATTCACATTGATCTGTTAAAGAATGCAAGAAAAAATAACAGACTCTACAGCAGAAGCTGGGCCAGCCTACAGCTACAAACTGCAGCTGGATAATCCCAAATACCGCGTCTCTGAAAGGAAAACAGGGACAGGATTGTCACCAGCCATCAGTATTGGCCTGGCCACCACTAGTGGATGCCTGTACAGCCAGAATCTCACTAAGGATTATTTATTTTATGTTTGAAGTGGAGTTGTCTCCCAGTATCATGCTGTCTCTTCCACCCCCCAGCAGCCCCATGAAGGGACTCCTTTCGTGAACCTCTGTGCACCCAAACCTTTGCCAGGTTTCCCCTTGGGAGAATTGTTGTCATTAGAGGCTTGCTCCAAAATCCATTAAGATCAGTGCAAAGGCCCCTCTGGATGTAGAATCAAGCCTTTACAATATTATTCTTCAGATCACTACTTAGACATTTCCATACCCCATGATTCCTACATTCAGAAGCTGACAACGGCCAAGCCGTGGATGCTGCAGGCTGGTTGCCTCTCGTGCTAACATCATCTCCACCTCGGTTTTATAATTCTATTGCAACTTCTGTGGGTTAGGAGCTGCCTTTTGGTTCTGAACCTGTTGCAAGGCAGGTGTGGTGGGGCCTGGACCATGACTGCGGAGAACCACAGCGACACAAGTAAATGCTGCAATTAATGGCAGCAGGCAGCCGAGACCTGAAGGACAGTTGCCAGAAGCAGGAGCCAGCTCTGCCGTTGAGCCCCCGCGGCTTCCCCCAGCTGTGGGAGGATGGACCATGCTCTGCAAGGGTTGCTTTAGCTCCGGCAACAGCAGCGCTTTGAGCCAGCCCGCCGGGCTCCAACGCCTACGTTCCAGGCATTGCAACACCCGACCTGGCTGAAGAACATCCCCTGCCTGCGCCTGATCTCTGAGCCTGCTGCAAAAATACTCCTTTCTCCTGGATCACTTTGTTCTTCACGTGCACCCGGGAGATGATCTGGGTCCTGGCACTTTGGTGGGAGGGGGTCCTGCCCCACGCTCTGCCTGCCCACATACCAACAGCTGCCTCTTACCTTCCTCTGGCGACGGTCGATGACCAGTATCACCACTACGGTGACTGCCACGGCAGCCAGGGTCACCAGCACGCTGGCCTCCCAGTAGCGTCCGAGGGAACACAGCTGGACAGTGGAGTAAATGTTTGTCCAGAGAGACACGTAGAAAACCTGTAAAAACCCAGAGAGACTGATGATGCTCACAAAACTATGAAAGTGAGAAAAGCCAAGGGAAGAAGAAAACTACTGGTCCCTTCTCCCAGGGTAATACCTCACAATAAATTAAGTCGCACGAGATTTTCAGAGGGTGAGAAAGGACAGAAGTTCTTTCCAGTAATGAATAGAGGAAAGAAAGGACTAGAAGGACTGAGTGTGCCCTAGTTTATTATAAAAAATTACCAGTCATCAAAGACAGAGAGTGAATTATTAATGATGATTCATACCTAGGAAGGATTTCAACCGAGTTCTTCCATTTAGATAAGAAATGCACTCACTGAGGCATATTGATAATACTTCTAATAGTCCCTGTATTTAGAAGGCTCCTATGCCAAAGCACTTGAGCTGGTGCACAGACTGCTCAATTACAGTAACACTCAAACAGCGGTGCTGACATGGGGCTCAAGGACTGTGCTAAGGACTGACAAACTTGGCCTTTGCATAAAGACAGGCAAAACCGAATCCATTTGGCCTTTTTACTTCAGATAACATGCATTTTGGCAGGAGGTTGCCCAGAAGCAAATATGACACGTACAGCACAGTGTGTCACAGCATCACCTCGCAATAATATAACTCCTTTGCGCTAGACAGGCACCAAAACCCGCAAAACACTGAGCACCAGTTCCTGCAATACTAGTGAAAGGAGGAGATGCATCTCAGCCAGTCCATGTCCATGGCAAGCCTGCGAGAGACCCCACGGTCCTTACCACGGCGAAGGCGATCTGGAACGCCCTGGAATTGTAGAACATGTACCGTCTGACTTCAGGCTTCAGGACAGCATCCTGGATTAACCTTCTCCACTGGTCCCCTGCCACCTGCTCAGGGAGTAAGCAGAAAACTAGACACCTTCCAGTTTCAGGCTCCCAGTCCCATCAGAACCAGCTTGGGCAGTCTCCATGGGGCCAGGCTGGCACTGCAACTGAAATCTGTGTCCCAGAGCACCCTCCAACAGAGCACACCTCCAGTCTCATCCGTACAGCTGTCACAGACTGAAAACTTGTGTTCTTGCCTCATTTGCAGTGAGAAATATCTCCCCGGAAAGTGCAAGGAAAGTCACAAGAGACAAGCACCTTTTTTATGTCAAAGGAAAAGACAAGACAAGACAGATTGTCCCAGGGATGCTCCGTCCCATCAGAGCAACTTCCAAGCAATTCACTAGAACCTACATCGAATGGGTTTCTTCACGGAGGTTTAAGCCAAGATCATTACAGTTGATTTGCAGCCCGTGGGGAACAGACTGAAGTTGAACTGAAACAAGTGACTCTCAAAAAAAAATTAAAAAAAAAAAAAAAAGAAAAAGCTGTGTGTGATGTGGGTGCAAATGCAAATGACGCTAATCCAGCTAACTTTCACTCCTGCAGAGTCCCCAGGGGAGAGAACGCGTGAGGAGCTTACCTGAACCCCGAGGGACTTCAGTTTCTCTGCACAAAGCTCCATGTCAAAGGAGGTGGCTGAGAAGTTGTTGTCCATGTTGAGCACCATGAGCACCTGGCCATTGAGGGGTTCTGCAAGAGCCCAAAGGAGTCGTGAGCATGGCTCTGGCACATTTTTTTTCTCCCAGCATCTAAGGAGCATCTGGCAAAGGGAAGGCTGAGGAACGCAGAGCACCCTGAGGTGTTTTAAATGGATCCAGAATCCCCCTTTGGACAGTTCTAAGAACATCACAAGGAGCTTTGGAAGCAGCCTGATGTCCCCTGTAAGGAAACAGCCTACAAAAAGGGAGGAAACCCCAAACACATTCCAGGAGCCAGCAGTCAGAGATAACATGATGCTCTGATCTTCGGCAGGATAATGTCTTGCCTCACTGATCCCTAACTGAAAGACAATGGACTGAAGCTGCTCTGTGTTTCTAAAGCTATCTGCCTCTTGGAGACATTCCCCATTGCCTACCCACTCCACCCACCTAAAGAAAATGCTTGAGCAATCAAATTACAATCCCATTGTCTGGGATGTGGCAGGGCTGCCCTGAAGCATCAGCCCCATAGGTTCTCCAGCTCCAGAGGTGCTCCTGAGCTTGGCTCTGCTCAAGGATCTCAGCTTCCCAGTTTCAGCTAGGGCTAGGATCAGAGATGTCATCTAGGGACCCAAGTTGCAGTCAGGAGCCCAGAAAGTGTGAGGACAGCCTGTCCTAGATTTGAAAGCAGGCTGCTCAGAGCCGAGGCAGAGGAGAGCTGCCATCTCCAGGCATCCCATCTGGCTCTCATCTAGAGTTTACACAAGCTCTGCTACGTCAAGAGGAAGAGATCGGGTGTGAGGAAGTGGCTGTTCAGAGGAGATCCTGTTTCACTGACACGTTCCACCCAGCTCTCCTTCCTCTTTGCAGAGCCGGTGTCAGGCAGGTCACCGATGCTCCCTGCTCGGTGCTCGCCCAGGCTGCGGCGCTGGCTGGCGTACAGCCTGCACCCACCCTTCCCTTCGCTCCCACTTCTGTCCTCCCTCCTCATCATCTCTTCACTGCTCAGGAACAGGAGATGCCAAGTGAAATGAGGCAGTTACATTACAATAGGGTGTGATTGCATGGAGTCAAAAAGAGAAGAGCAGATGCTCTGAAACCTCCAGGATAGCAAGGTCCTGCTTGTTTGCTGAGGTTTATCTCCTCTCAACACAGAGCAGTGGAGGTGGAGCATTAAAGCAAAAGTAAAAACAACAGCCGCAGCCTTGGGCTCAGCTGTCCTGTTCACCGTGGCATTGGTCAACTCCCTTGGCACAAAGTCTCGCAGTTGGGTGCCAAGCTGGGATATTCGAGATTTGCAGAGGGGCTCAGCTCCCCAAGCTCTGCTGGGGTCACAGGAGCTGCTTCACCCCTGCAAAGACTGGGCACTGAGGAGGTGCCGTGAACTGAGCAAGCAAAAAGGGCACCCTGGTGCTGTGCGTGGAGGTCTCGGTGAGAACAGCCATCCCACGGCACTGCCTGCGGTCTCTACACGGAGCAAATTGCTGCCAGGGAAGGGAGTCACTTGGAAAGCACAGATCAAGGTTCCCAAATATCCCTTGACTTTTGAGGGCTAAGAGAAGAGGACTTCCAGGGTCCTGATTTTCAACACATTGATGCCCATTCATTCCTATATATCAGGCTTTCCAAAGAGTCCAGTTGTGTCCATCCCCTCCCCAAAATGCTGAAACATCTCTAATTTATTTCTGCAAATTAGGTGCTGTTAATGAGCATCTTTGAAAAATCTGTCTTCTGGTATTTTAAGGGCATTGTACCCAGTGCTTCCTTTCTCCTTATCATCAACAAGTTGCTCACTTACCTTTCCCCCATGGCAGGGATCCTTCCTTTAAATCACTCTTACAATGCAGGATGGAGGAAAATGACCCATTCTTCTCAATTCCACCCACTTGGCTTTTATGGGCCATGCTGAAGGTGCCTCTCCTTGCGGCACCCTATGTCGTATTGTCAGAAATTCAGCACTTTGTGTATTCGCCTTATCTTCAACTGCTGAGAAACGCTGATTCAGCCCCAAGGCAGCCACTTGCTCTCCTCGTTGGGGACCAGATTGTGAAATCTTCATTCACACTCCCACTGACATCTCTCTTCCTCGAGATCTTGCTTTCCATGAGCAAGGAGGCATTTTCTAGGCCTGAAAAGTGGGAAAAAAAAAAAAAAAAAGTCCCAAATCTTGCAGAGACAGCGAATAAAGAGTACCAGCACAGATCCCTGGGTGTAGCCAGCCATCAGTGCAGTACGCCCAGGCTCGCCTTTTGCTGCCATTACCATTTCTTTTTGTTAATAAATTGAAAAGTTATCCTTAAATATTCCTTAAATTATCCTGACATCCTTAAGTATTCCTATTTTGTAAACAATTATCCAGAACAGGCAGGATTTCTCCTTGCGAAGCCAACAGGTGTTTTGCTCTTGCTTTCAGCAGCAAGTGGAGCCGGTGGGAACGTCCTCCCTGGAAGGGAAGCACCCCGCTCACCGACGCAGTGGATAATTCCCCACCGCATGAAGGCAGCAGTGCAGATAAGGAAGAAAAACACACCCACTGAAGGCAGAGGCAAGCAGGAGCTCTCACCCAGCAAAGCCGTCAAGGGTCTCAGCTTTCCCCTCTCCTCCCCGTCGCGGGCAGTGCCAGCGGCCGACGGGGCACGTCCCCACAGCAGGCACCGTGCCCGCGGGTTTTCCAGGCAAACGCTGCTGACGCAGGTCTGTAACCTGCTGCCAGGACCTGTGGGTGGTTGTTAAAGCAAACACTGGGAGGACTGAAGTTTACTTTTCAATTATCTTCCACTTCGGTGGCTCAGCAGCTGCATCCACACAGGCTCTCCAAAGCTGTCATTTACTTTTTAACCTCTGCTCTGTCCTACTTTTGCACCAGGAGCCTGTTGCTGTCTCTTGGTGTAAAGCTCCCTCCCGGAGCTCATCCACTCCCCTTCCAAAGAGGACTGCTTTATTTTTCACTGGTGGTTGTTGCTGCAATGACCCCCTTGCACAAAGCCAGGATAGGCACCCCTTGAAGGACCATCAGAAAGGAAACTGAAGCAAGAGAAACAACACGAAAGGTTCTTCTGATTGCAGAAAAAACCTGCAGAGGGCTGGAAACTCATGCTTAAAGGAATGAAGCCGTGGTAGCTGTTGCTCAAGAGCTGTGCAGTGTGTGTGTGCACACAGGATGGGCACAGCACCCGCTCAGCACTGGCACAGGCGAGGAGCGATGCTGCTGCACATCGAGCATGGCTCTGCAGCGCAATGTCCTGGCAGAGCACAGACAGGCACGTGGCACAGAGCTCCCAGCACCAAAAGGTGGATTCAGAGAATTTTCTCACTGCTTTCCCCTTTTGCCTTCAGTCCCTTCAGGTTAGTGTCAAACAGAAGGGAAAATTAAAAACAAGACAGCAAAGCCCACACAAAACAGCAGCAAAGCAGAAAGTGAAAAAAACCAGATGGAACAAAAGGAGAACCTAATTAAAACCTACCACCCTGTCGTTCCTGCTGTCACACTAAGTTAGAGATGAATCAAGGCTCTCTGGCTCAGATGTCGAGAATTTTGAGTCCCTGGAGGACAGTCCCCAGGAAGCAGCAGCGAAGGGTGCAGCAGGGTCAGGGCAGCTCAGCCTTCCCCAGCCAGGACCAGCTCGTCAGCACAACAGCTTTGCTTTTACCTCTTTGTGCAGCACAGACTCGTTTGGCTCCGTTGCCTTTTACTGCAAAATGACAGCCCATTTTTTGAAATTGGTCCCCCGAAACCTTCTTCTGCCTTCCCCCGTGCAAGTACGAGGGGCTTCCTCTCACCTCCTGCACTGCCCAGGCACTGTGTCTCTAGGTCTCTCATTCTTTACCTCTCTTTGGTGACTTTACCTCCTCCAGGCTATGGACTTTCTTCTTAGGACACCTCCAAGCCCTGGCTAAACAGCAGAGAAACATTCAGCAAGTCCTTCTGCTTCTGCAGAGCCTCACCTGCTCCAGCTCACCTCCTGGTCCTGGGGAGCCAGCTCAGCTCCTTCCTCCTCCTCCTCCTC